GACTGATCGTTTCCTTCCCGAGAGCAGTATCTTCAAACACATCATTCTCAAATTCAACTACAAGATTCTCCAATCCAAGACTCTTCAATTCACTCCCCCTCTCCCCCTGAATTGGAGAGGAGGGAGAGACATAATATGACACTTCTTCATGGAAAGTCACATCCAAAGTAACATACACATTCTGGGTAGGTGGAGGATAGCACTTATAACCCTTCTGAGTAGAAGAGTAACCAATAAAGACACATCGTAGAGCTCAAGGATCGAGTTTACTCCGTTGATAAGAGTAGACACGAACATAGGCAATACACCCAAAAACTTTATGGGCAACTTGGAGACGGAGATAGGGGAAATATGGTTACCAAACACATCATGCTGAGTCTTGAAATTAAGAACCTGGCAAGGAGTACGATTAATAAAATAGGCAGCAGATTTAACAACATGCCCCCAAAGATGATGGGGAACAGACATATCCAATATGAGTGAGCGGGCAACTTCAAGCAATTCGGTTTTTTCTTTCAGACACACCATTTTGTTGAAGAGTAAAAAGGGTTGTCGTTTGGTGAATAATACCTTGAGTACGAAATAAAGACGCCAAAGTATTATTCACATATTCGCCTCTATTATCAGTTCGGAATACTTTGACCCGAGCATGAAACTGAGTAGACGTCATAGTACAAAACTCTGGAAGGATAGAAGCAACACCATGTTTATTTTTAGCAAGAAAACCCAAGTGAGGAGGTACAATCATCAATAAATGCAACGAACCAACGAAATCCATTCGAAGTAACGCGAGTCGGACCCCACACATCAGAATGCACTAAATCAAAAGGTTTTGCAGCTTTATTATCACTCAAAGGAAACACAATGCCATGACTCTTGGCTAAAATACATGTCTCATACTTAAAACTGGACTCATCACAAGAGCGAAATTAAGTTGGAAACATACGCTTAAGGTAGCCAAATGATGGGTATCCCAAGTGACGATGCCATAACCAAATTTACTGTTTGTCTTTGACACTGCAACTTTGAACAGTATTAATGACACAATCATGAACTGGGGCAGAAGGCAATGTCAAATAATATAACCTCCCTATCCGTTTACCATGCCCAATCGTCTCGTGAGTCTTGAGATCTTGAAAAGAGTAATGTGTATGATAGAAAGTAGCAGAAGTATTAAGTGTAACAAGTAATCGACTAACAGATAACAAGTTACAATGGATTTTAGGAACTAATAACGCACAAGACAAAGACAAAGTAGGAGTGAGAGAGATTGTGCCCTCACTAGTAATTGGAGAGGGCAAGCCATTAGCACTAGTTATGTATGGGTCACGGGTGTTACTAGACAACTCATCAAAAAATTTAGCATCATAAGTCATATGATCAAAAATACTAGTGTCAATTATCCAAGTATTGTAGCAAGTTCCTGGAATAGAGTCAGAAACATTCAATTTTGTAGAAGAAGCAGCAACAACACCAACAATGGAGTTACCATCCATAATTGCAGCATAAACTCAACAAATCACTGCAGAGTATACAACGGAACACAACAGAGGCACAAATACAGCAGATGCACGAAGACAGTAGAGACATGAATACGACAGAGTACACAATGGAACACAGCAAAGACACAAATACGGCAAATCCACGAAGACAGGAATGACAAGAACACAGTAAATGCACGAACACTACAACACAACACACAAACCCAGGAGGGCACACACGGCAAAGTAGAAAAAAATATGAGGCTAGAACACCGGTGAGCACAACACATAGGTCACTAGAAAAGTTGGCTCTGATGCCAAGTCAAATAATATGGGTAGAATATTTTCAGGTTGTATTTCATTCTCCAAAAGGAGGTATTTATAATATAATGATGTAACCCTAGTAGGGTCAAACTATGAAACAAGATAAAATCCTAATTACACAATACAAAAGAAAAAAATACAGTCATAATAAACTAGGAAATAAATATCCTAATTAAGCTAGGATCTCTCTCTCTCCGTTGGCTTTCTTTCTTTTTCTCCAATTGGATGATCTTCTAATGAATCATATATTATTATGTATTAGGGTATACTGGTGATTTGCCCCCTGAATTTATACTTAACTTTCGATTTACTCCCTAGCTTTTTTTAAAACAAAATTAAGGATATGAACTTCTTCTTTTTTGCAAATTTCCCCCTCTCCGTCTAAATCCACAACATGTCATCTAATTTGCTGTTAAAAATGAGGACAAAATGGTCATTTTGTACATTAAAAATAAAAAATAAAAAAAATATTTATAAAAAAAACAGAATTGAAATACTCTCTCTCTCTCTGCAAGCTTGCATGGGGATGAGGGTCGTCATTTGGCAGTGGCTTGGAGGATAACGATTGAGTGGTTGGAGAGGTTGGGGTTGGTAGGTAGGGGCTGGAGTTTGTGGTTGGGACAGGCGCGGGGGGGATAAGAAATCAAAAGGAGTTTTTGGGTTTGTGGGGGAAGGGTGGTTGGGGTAAGGGGTGGTCGTGGGAGAATTGGGGGGGTACAATTTCAATAGACAGATTAGAGAAAGTAGGGGGTTGAGAATCTAAGGCTTCGATTGCAGGAAGGTTAGGGTTTGATTGGAGTAGTTGATGACATAGTAGGCCATGGCGAACTAAGTCTAGTTGGGCAGAGGGTACTGGTCTCGCTTTTGGCACCGTATCCTAGCTCTGCAAGAACAACTTCAAGTTCTTCAAATCCCTTTTTCTTTAGTTCCTTCTTAGAAAGCTGCCTTTCAGTATGTTCAATAAGGTCGTGATGTTTATTTTTAGAATTGGGACTGGATTCTCTAGATTTTTTTTTTCTTTAGTGTCTTTTTTTGCTTTATATTTTTTTTTTCCCTTTTTTTTGTGTGGTGGTCAATTTCCTCTTTTTCTTCAATTTTTTTAAAATGATTTAACTGAAAATTGGATGAAATGTTGAGGATTTAGACAGTAGGGGGAAATTGGAGGAAAAAAAAAGTTCATATTCTGAATTTTCTAAGAAAAAAAGATAAGAAATTAATTCAAATGTAAGTACAAATTCATGGGGCAAATCACCAGTATACATTATATGATTTTTGAGAGAGGAAGATGTAGCTAGTCTAGTTATGTTCACATCGTGGTGATGACTAAAATGTTGTCAGATAAAGTGGTCTGAAATTTATGGTAAAAGTCAACTTATTCCCATCTCGATATATTTTGACTGGGTCTTGGATCCACCAATAATGCTTGAAATTTATCACTATACTATATATACATATGATTCCTTTGACTTTTGTTAGCCCTTTCCATGCTTCTTCCCTTGTAATTAGTAAGGTATTAATTAGTGCTGGGTTTTTTAGGAGCATGAGAGGATTTATCTTGATACCCAAAAACCACAGGTGCAGCCCTTTAATTACAAGGGTATATTTTCCTATATTGAAGTAGCAATACATAACCCAATCCCTCGAATCTTTGATATAGGATGTAGTGGTTGAGCATGGGATATGACAATGTCAACTCAGCCAAAAAAAAAAAAAGAAAAAACAGAAGAATTAAGCCGATTGGTTTTCTCATGTCTTTCAGGTTGCTTTTACTTGGTATTTTTCCAACTTAACTTAGATATTAGTGTATCAAAATAAATAAATTATATGGTTGAATTTTTTTAAATTAACAGATGAGAGAATTCGAACTTGAGACTTCTGTCAGTAGTATTTTGAAAAAAGGAAATATCACTAGACCAACAATTAGCTGATCTTATAGTTTAAAATTTTCTCAGACTATCATCTGAGATCTGGCTCCTACTAATTAAAGTCAATATCAAAGTGCAAATATAAATTTATTTTAGGTATGCAAATCACTCTTTCTTATTTTCTAGCTAGTTGGGTGATCATTATTATTCCCTATATTGCCACAGAAGGTCGACGTCAACTGCATTTTGCAATTTGGTTAATACACTTCGAACGTATCCTTCTACCAACTTCTGTATAATAATATTAAATAAGCACAGGGCATAATGAACTCAAAAGACACACATCTCATCTGTAGCTAAAGGTAAAAAAGGTCTGTGACTTGGTTGCTATATATCTCTTTGGGTGCTTCGACCAAAAATAAATAAAAATCTCTCTGGGTGCCATCTATTATTTGACAAAATATTCGAAACACTCTGTCTCTATCGCCCTTTGCCTCTCCCTCGAATGACAAAATATAAGGATAATATCTAAAGATTCTATGTAGGTTTGATTTGATGGGTTCAAGTAAGCTAGTGAGTAACTGAGAAATAAGAAAAATATAGATATTGTTTAGGTGGATTAATCACGAGGTAAGGATAATATATATATTTTTAGAATCTTTTCTTATTGAAAGGAGCGATAACATATTAAACTCGTACACATTATATGGATACTAGGACTCAAACTCAAAACCATTCTTGAGGGAAACATTTGTTTCCTCCAAACCACTACACTAATAGGTCATTTGCGAGGCAAGGATAATATAACGTACTTTAAAGGTGGCAAAATATTCTTCAACATGAGGTTGCTTTGCGTCACGTATATATTTAATTTTTAGCGTACTTGTTAGCTTAAGTAAACTTATTTGATTACCTTACTCCTCTTTTCTTTGCATATATACCCTTCTTGTTCCATTGGGAAAAATAGCAGCAGCAACAACCCTGCAGATGATCAAAGGGGGAAGGATTGACTTTTGGAGTCTTTTCATATATCAAGACATAGCCACCCTACCAGCAACTTGCTTCCAAGTAGTAATCTAGAATTAATTAATAATTTCATTGAAAAAGATGTTACACCACCGATATCATTGGTTATATAAATGCAATATACATATATATTGACCCGGCAATATGTCTCATTATGGTTAAGTTGACTAAGGCTAGCTAGACTCAATATGATGCACATAATTGCATGAAATTATTATAAGAGCACAATCTAATACCAGTTGAGACTTGAGAGAGAACAAGAGATCATCAGAAAAAAGAATTTCTGTGGGTGAGAGAGAGAGAGATGAAGCTGAATGGTCAACTTCAGCCTGATCTTCAACATTTTAGCCACCCGCATCCCTTAAGACTTTACAATCACCAACCCCAGCAGCAAACCCTAAACCTGCAGCAGCAGCAGCAGCTAGCCTCATGTGCATGCTGCAAACTCAATGTCTCTGATGGATGGATTTATAGTTGCACACCATGCAATTACTTCCTCCACATACCATGCTCACAAATACCTCAGCAAATCACTCACCCATATGATCAGCAAAGCCATGTCCTGATTCTGATCCCAACCCCAACATACCCAGATGGGGTCTTCAGTTGCGATGCATGCATGAAGCATGGGAATGGCTTTGCCTACCATTGTGGAGCTTGCGGCATTGACCTCCACCCATCTTGTGCTTCAAAGCCATTGGTTCTCACTCACCAATCCCACCCTCACCAGCTCAGTCTCTCTTTCTCACTTCCTCCAGGATTTAACAACAGCAAGACCTTCATATGTAATATATGCAACCAAGTTGGGTACAAAGAGTGGCTCTACATGTGCAATCCCTGTGGTTTCACTGCTCATTTGGGCTGCGCCACAGCGAAACCAAGAGCTCCTCCTCCTCCCTCAAATCAACAAATTCAAGCAGCAGCACAAGCAGCTTTTGTTGGAACTCCATGTTTTCCAACAAGTACTATTTCAGCTACTCCTCATCAGTTCCAAAACTATGTGCCAAATAATAGTTTTAATAATAATAATTATAATAATGGCAATATCCCTACCGCTGGTGTTTGTGGACAACCTGTTAGGCGGAATAAGTCAGGGAAGGAGCTGGGAAAGGCTATCGTGAACACAGCAGCTCAAGTTCTTATTGGTGTCCCTATTTTTGGACTGGGTGGTAATTCCTCTCAACAGCAACAGCAACAGCCACAACAACAACCACAGCAACAGCAATACCAACAGCAGCAGCAGCAGAAACATCCACAACAACAACCACAGCGACAACAATACCAACAGAGACAGCAATACCAACAGCAGCGGCAACAACAACAGCAACAGCAATTGGTGGGTGGTGGTGTTTGGCCTGTTGGGTTTATATCTGCAGGTGGCAATGATATGCAAGGAGTTGGTATTAGTATTGATTTTGGAAGCAGTACTAATGCCACTACTGATCCTTCGCCATTCGGATCCACCTACACTGAGGCTGACTATTTCGGTGGAACTGGAGGAGTGGGAGATACGATTATACCGTATACATTTGATTTGAGATATTAATTCTGTATTTGTCTTGCAGAAATAAACATGATTGTTTGTCTCCATTTCAATACACTATATTGGGTTTACATCGGGATATGGCATACAATAGGTGTTTTGATATGTTACCAGTTTACTTTTGATTTTGCTTCAACTTTGATCTCATGATGTTTCCCTGATCAGAGTAATCGTGCATATACGCAGGCTCTTTCTTTTTAACCGCATTGTGTGAACAATGGGAGCATGTTTCCAAAATTTTCCATGACTAAAATTGTTGAGTAGAGTAATAACTACATTGAATACTTCAACTAAAAACTATACATTTGAAATTCCCTTGCCCCTTGGGGTAGCTGGGTGATGATCACCTATTTATGTATATTTTATGCTAGATGGTCATTCTTCCTTATAATGGCATTGATGTGGTAGATTAGTTTTACTGATTTCTTTTTCCATTTCCTTTCTTTGACAAAGTTTTCTTTAGAATAGAAATTTCAAATTGGCAGCTGTTGTAGTAATTAATTTTGTAGCGTTTCTTTTTCCAATTAAATTTGTAGTCAATGACAAGGAAATAATAGTAAGAAGAGTGAATAGTAAAAAGAGTTATTTACAGTAACACTCCTGAGGTTTTCAGTTTCATAAAACTATCTAAGGTTTCAAACATTACATGAACACCCCCCGAGATTTAAATTGTTTTCACAAAATCCATTTCCTTTTATTTTTCATCCAAAAATGAATGATTTTATATAATAATAAATTCTCCAAATGACAATGTTAGCCTTTGAGATTAGATTGCACATGCATTCATTAAGGTTAAAATTTTGCATAAAAAAAAATTTCAATGAAATCGTCAATTTTTGAATGAACAATCAATGAAAAAGGACCTTTGTGAAAACAATATGAAACCTCAGGGGATCTTCGTGTAAATAACTATTAAAAAAAAGTACTTTCGATGCCAAGGTCATCTCCTAGAAAGTTAATAATTTATATTCACACCAAAGAGGTTTATGTCGCCCTCTAGGGAGATCTCCCTTGAACAAAAGATAAAAAGAAGTCTAGGCCGGCAGTGAGTGTACTGTGTAACTAATTAATGGATGCATGAACTAATTTCGTATTTTTATCCCACAATAAATTAGAGGGTGGTTTAGGTCAGAAGAATGTCAATGATACTCATAAGCTACAATCCAAATATTCTAATTGAGCAAGTCTGATGAAATCAAGTATAGCTGCTACTTCATATACATAGGTTGGCAAAATATTCTTCAAAAGGGTTGCTTCTTCTGCTTC